ATGGTAACTCGACCAATTAGATCGTTTCGTTCACTTTCCAGCGTGCACTAGAAAATAGCTGCTGGAATCTGATTGGTTGGTGTGGTCAATAATAGCACTTCTGTTCTCAACATCAGCCCCTGAATGCTTGTCTCTGCTGTTGTCGCCTTTCCTGACAATGCCATCGAAGTGAGAGACGTACATGAAAGCTGTTTTCATACCCGACTCTTCCCAGCCGCTCTATGCCCAGGCAGACTACTCCGGGAAGCAGATGATGTGTACAGCTCTTAATTCATCCCAAGCCCCCTCCCTTCCACCCATGGGAGCGCTGTACTGTTTACTACCTCGGAGACATGGTGTGCAGGCTGGGGATAGATTATCTCCGTGCCTTTTACAGGTTAGGACAGATCGCTGTGTTTATTACAAGGCGGACCAGAATGACCGCTGTAAACAGCCAGAGGAGATTGATATGTCTGGGACAACCTGAGGGCGATGGATGGGACAGCCAGAGTTGGGTCAGACAGGACAGTCTGTGATGGGTGTGAATGGAGCCAGTGTATGGGCATGGGACAAGTATAGATGAGACACCCAGAGTTGGGTCAGACAGGACAGTCTGTGATGGGTGTAATGGAGCCAGTGTATGGGCATGGGACAAGTATAGATGGGGCACCGGACAGTCTGTGATGGGTGTAAATGGAGCCAGTGTATGGGCATGGGACAAGTATAGATGGGGCACCCAGAGTCAGGTCAAATAGGACAGTCTGTGATGGGTGTGAATCGAGAGCCAGTGTATGGGCATGGGACAAGTATAGATGAGACACCCAGAGTTGGGTCAGACTGGACAGTCTGTGATGGGTGTAAATGGAGCCAGTGTATGGGCATGGGACAAGTATAGATGAGACACCCAGAGTTGGGTCAGACAGGACAGTCTAGGATGGGTGTAAATGTTACCAGTGTATGGGCATGGGACAAGTATAGATGAGACACCCAGAGTTGGGTCAGACAGGACAGTCTGTGATGGGTGTAAATGGAGCCAGTGTATGGGCATGGGACAAGTATAGATGGGGCACCCAGAGTTGGGTCAAATAGGACAGTCTAGGATGGTTGTAAATGGAACCAGTGTATGGGCATGGGACAAGTATAGATGGGGCACCCAGAGTCAGGTCAAATAGGACAGTCTGTGATGGGTGTGAATCGAGCCAGTGTATGGGCATGGGACAAGTATAGATGAGACACCCAGAGTTGGGTCAGACAGGACAGTCTAGGATGGGTGTAAATGTTACCAGTGTATGGGCATGGGACAAGTATAGATGAGACACCCAGAGTTGGGTCAGACAGGACAGTCTAGGATGGGTGTAAATGTTACCAGTGTATGGGCATGGGACAAGTATAGATGAGACGGCCAGAGTTGGGTCAGACAGGACAGTCTGTGATGGGTGTGAATGGAGCCAGTGTATGGGCATGGGACAAGTATAGATGGGGCACCCAGGGTCAGGTCAAATAGGACAGTCTGTGATGGGTGTAAATGGAACCAGTGTATGGGCATGGGACAAGTATAGATGGGGCACCCAGGGTCAGGTCAAATAGGACAGTCTGTGATGGGTGTAAATGGAACCAGTGTATGGGCATGGAACCAGTGTAGGTTGGACAAGTATAGATGGTGCAGCCAGAGTCAGGTCAAATAAAAAGCACAGTCTGGCATGGGTGTGAATTGAACCAGCGCATGGACATGAAACAGTAGGTTGGACATGTATAGATGAGCCAGCTAGAGTCAGGTCAAACAAAAAGGACAGTCTGGGATGGTTGTAAGTTGAACCAGTGCATGGGCATGGAACCAGTGTAGGTTGGACAAGTATAGATGGAGCAGCGAGAATCGGGTCAAACAAAAAGGACAGTCTGGCATGGGTGTAAATTTAACCAGCGCATGGACATAGAACCAGTGTAGGTTGGGCAAGTATAGCTAGGGCAACCAGAGTCCGGTCAAACAAATAGGACAGTCTTGGATTGTTGTACATGGAACCAGTGCATGAGCATGGAACCAGTGTAGATGGGACAGCCAGAGTCCGGTCAAACAAATAGGACAGTCTGGGATGGGTGTAAATGGAACCAGTGCATGAGCATGGAACCAGTGTAGATGGGACAGCCAGAGTCAGGTCAAACAAATAGGACAGTCTGGGATGGGTGTAAATGGAACCAGTGCATGGGCATGGAACCAGTGTAGGTGGGACAGCCAGGGTCAGCTCAAACAAATAGAGCAGTCTAAAAAAAAAATTTTTTTTTTTCATTTAATATCTTTACATCTGCTTTAAATATTGTTTCTTTTCTGTCTGGATTTGAGCTTTAAGGTTAGTCCAGTACCGGCCAGTGAACGGTTTCCCTCTTCTGGAATCAGACAGTTGAATGTTTTATCTGTGGGACAATGGGGTAGACCTATATCTATGGGACAATGGGGTATGGGACAATGGGGTAGACCTATATATCTATGACCTATATCTATGGACAATGGGGTAGACCTATATCTATGGGACAATGGGGTAGACCTATATCTATGGGACAATGGGGTAGACCTTTATCTATGGGACAATGGGGTAGACCTTTATCTATGGGACAATGGGGTGGTCATTTATCTATGGGACAATGGGGTGGACATTTATCTATGGGACAATGGGGTAGACCTATATCTATGGGACAATGGGGTGGAAATGTTTCTATGGGACAATGGGGTAGACCTATATCTATGGGACAATGGGGTAGACCTTTATCTATGGGACAATGGGGTAGACCTATATCTATGGGACAATGGGGTAGACCTATATCTATGGGACAATGGGGTAGACCTATATCTATGGGACAATGGGGTAGACCTTTATCTATGGGACAATGGGGTAGACCTATATCTATGGGACAATGGGGTGGAAATGTATCTATGGGACAATGGGGTAGACCTTTATCTATGGGACAATGGGGTAGACCTTTATCTATGGAACAATGGGGTAGACCTTTATCTATGGGACAATGGGGTGGACATTTATCTATGGGACAATGGGGTAGACCTATATCTATGGGACAATGGGGTGGACATTTATCTATGGGACAATGGGGTGGACATTTATCTATGGGGCAATGGGGTAGACCTATATCTATGGGACAATGGGGTAGACCTATATCTATGGGACAATGGGGTAGACCTATATCTATGGGACAATGGGTTGGACATTTATCTATGGGACAATGGGGTATACCTATATCTATGGGACAATGGGGTAGACCTATATCTATGGGACAATGGGGTAGACCTATATCTATGGGACAATGGGGTAGACCTATATCTATGGGACAATGGGGTAGACACTATATCTATGGGACAATGGGGTAGACCTATATCTATGGGACAATGGGGTAGACCTTTATCTATGGGACAATGGGGTAGACCTTTATCTATGGGACAATGGGGTAGACCTATATCTATGGGACAATGGGGTAGACCTATATCTATGGGACAATGGGGTAGACACTATATCTATGGGACAATGGGGTAGACCTATATCTATGGGACAATGGGGTGGACATTTATCTATGGGACAATGGGGTGGACATTTATCTATGGGACAATGGGGTAGACCTATATCTATGGGACAATGGGGGTAGACCTATATCTATGGGACAATGGGGTGGACATTTATCTATGGGACAATGGGGTGGACATTTATCTATGGGACAATGGGGTAGACCTATATCTATGGGACAATGGGGTAGACCTATATCTATGGGACAATGGGGTAGACCTATATCTATGGGACAATGGGGTAGACACTATATCTATGAGACAATGGGGTAGACACTATATCTATGAGACAATGGGGTAGACACTATATCTATGGGACAATGGGGTAGACACTATATCTATGGGACAATGGGGTAGACATATATCTATGGGACAATGGGGTAGACCTATATCTATGGGACAATGGGGTAGACACTATATCTATGAGACAATGGGGTAGACACTATATCTATGAGACAATGGGGTAGACCTTTATCTATGGGACAATGGGGTAGACCTATATCTATGGGGCAATGGGGTAGACCTATATCTATGGGGCAATGGGGTAGACCTTTATCTATGGGACAATGGGGTTTGTAGTTATTTTTTTGTCCTTTTTCTGATTGGACCTAATGATTGTTCTGTATTCCCTTTTTTGTTGCATTTTATTTGTAACTCTCCAGGGGACACAGCAGTTTATAAATCGGGATCGTACTGGATCCTGGGCCGAACCTCCGTAGACATCATAAAGAGAGCGGAGGGTACAAAATAAGCGCTTTAGAAGTGGAGCGCCACCTCTTGGCCCATCCAAGCATTGCAGGTATGCAAGTATTTCTCTAAAATTGTTTCCGCCTACAGAGCTTTGGAATTTAGTTTTTTGGGGGTTTTTTTTTTTTTTTTTTTTCTTGTTATCTTCACATGTAGATGTGGCGGTCATCGGAGCACCTGATGTAATCTGGGGACAGCGCGTGTCAGCCATTGTGAAAGTTCGAGACGGACATAATCTTTTCTTGAATGAACTGAAGCATTGGGCAAGGTGAGATGCTAAAAAACTGTTGTTAGCAATTTCTTAAAGCAAAGCTCCACCCAAAACGAGCAGCTCTGCTTGTCTGCCTCCACTGCCACATTTGGCACTATTTGAAGGGGAAGGGGGGGAGCAGGTACCTGGTTTTGACAGGTACTCACTCCCCCTTCTGGCTCAGTTTGGCCTCCCTCCTTCCTCCCGCAGTCTTCTGGGACACTTCACAGGTCCTGTGCTGATCACAGATCCCCAAAAAAAAAACTAACAATTCACACCAAACTGAGCATGTGCAGCTTGCCCGCAAGGCTCTGTTCTATCAGCAGATGGATTGGGGACAGTAAAAGAAGAGGAGGATCAGAGAAGACAGGATGAAAAAGTCTTTTTACACAATGCAGAGGATTAACCTCTTAAATTCCACAGTGAGTATATCAAGCATGCTTTACTGCATCTACAGACTGATGTCACTGCTGTGCGTTTTGTAACCCTTTCATATAGGTGTTGGGAGGGGATGGGAGCAGTAGTTCTAGCCTAGAACTCCACTTGACTCCATGACCTGTGGGTGAGGCAAAACACGTCAGCGGCATGGCCTGGCTGAGGAATGATCGCCGGGCTTGTTTTCAGTGCAACGTTCAGGACTTCTTTTTCTGTCCCTTTGATTACATGGAGCTGGGATGGGCTCTCCACACCCAGCCGGCACCCACACTGGAGTTTCCTAGATTTGGATACACAAACCTGGAGCGGTAACCAAAAATCTTTTATTTAGGGTTCCACTTTAATGGCCACTTGGGCAGAAGTGGTGGCCTTCGCATACAGACCGGGCCTGGAAACCACAGGAACTACACAGGGATACAGAAACTGATGTGAAGAATCGCAGAGGGACTTACAGCACAATGTGCCCCACTGCAGCTGTACGGTGCGATTTTCCAGATTTTAGAATCTGATTCAGGAACACAATACAACCCGGACTGCAAAGAAAGAAAACAAATGCTCAGCTACACTTCGTACTACTTGTGCACAAGGCTGCTGTTAGAACCCACGGGGCCCCATGCAGCCAACCTGGCAGCACCCCCCTCCCCAGAAAAACAAAAAACCGTTTACTATGCTTCAGTTATTAATGAACACAGTAAGTGATCAGTATCAATCCCTCGTTGTGTTCATTCAGGAAAGGAAGGGGCTGGTAAATGTGCAAGATCCTATTGTGTTCTTGCAGTTGCTGGTGGAAAGGAGAGGAGGGAAGCCGACAGCAATGCGGGGATGGGGGGCACACAAGGGGGCTGGGTAGCAAGGGAAATATATGGTGCACAGGGAGGGTGATGGGTGCGGCAGGGGGGCAATTACTGGAACCGATCCCCTGTAGGGCTCTCTCTGGAGCAGCTGAAAACCTTCGGTTAGAAACCATGGGGGCCCCGTACAGCCACCCTGACAGACTCCTCCCCACCCCCTAAAATGAAAAAAGTTTTTTTGTACTTCAGTTATGAATGAACACTGTGAGTGATCAGGACTGATCAGGGATAGGGAAGCCTGCAGAGCTGTGGGGGTACACAGAGGGGCCTGGGCAGCAACAGCCAACCTGACAGCCCTCCCCAGAAAAAAAAACAGTTTGCTGTGCTTCAGTTATGAATGAACACAGTGAGTGGTTGGTACCTATTACTCATTGTGCTCCTTTAGCAAAGAAAGGGGCTGGGAAATGTGACATATTTATCGGACCCTTCCCCCACTTTCCATCCTGAAGGATCCTATTGTATTCTTGCAGTTGCTGGTGGAAAGGAGAGGAGGGGAGCCGGCAGCTCTGTGGGGGGCACACAGGGGAGCCTGGGCAGCAGAGGGAAACGTATGATGCACAGGGAGGGTGATGGGTGCGGCAGGGGGGGCATTTACTGGAACCGATCCCCTGTAGGGCCCTCTCTGCGACAGCTGAAAACCATCAGTTAGAAACAATGGGGGCCCCGTACAGCCACCCTGACAGACTCCTCCCCACCCCCCCCCAAAATAAAAAAAAGTTTTTTTGTGCTTCAGTTATGAATGAACACAGTGAGTGATCAGGACTGATCAGGGATAGGGAAGCCGGCTGCGCTGTGGGGGTACACAGAGGGGCCTGGGCAGCAGGGGAAAATGTGTCATGTACAGGGAAGGTAATGGGTGCGGTGGGGAAGGGGGTCAACTACTGGAACGGATCCCCCGTGTGGCTCTCTTTGCAGCAGCTGAAAGTCAACGGGAGGGAGGGGAGAAGAAGCCGGTTTTCAGCTGCCGCAGAGAGAGCCACACAGGGGATCGGTTCTAGTAGTTGACCCGCCCCACCGTACCCATTACCTTTCCTGTGCATGATACATTTTCCCCTGCTGCCCTGGCCCCCCCGTGTACCCCACCCCTACGCCGTGCAGACCACCCTCCCTGCCCACATCCGATTCAGCCAGCTGCCTGGGCCCCGTACAGGAGGACTAGTGGTACCCCCTTATCCACAGGCCTGCTCGTGCGTGACCTCTTCTGGTGCTGGTGGATTGAGCCTGAACCAAGGGAGGAGCTTGTTTTCCATAATACAAGGGGGCTTTCCACTTCCTTCTCCTGCATGAGCTGTGCTACCATCATGATGTAATAGAAGGGCCCGATACAGGCACGTAGCTTGTGTGACCCCCCGGCAGTGGAGGGCTGCAATTTTGGCTCATTAGTTGCTGCATTAAAAAGGATCATTTAAATTTACCGATTGCACTTGGCTGGCAGCACCTTGTTGGGAAAAAACAAAAAACATCGTAATTTTTATTAAATACAAAGCTGTGGTCGCCATACACCAGCTAGACAGACACGGGCACACTGAGAGAGACACGGGCACGCCGAGACAGACACGGGCACAATGAGAGAGATATGGGCACGCTGAGACAGACACGGGCACGCTGAGAGAGACACGGGCGCGCCGAGACAGACACGGGCGCACAATGAGAGAGATATGGGCGGGGCGCGCCGCCGAGACAGACACGGGCGCGCCGAGACAGACACGGGCACAATGAGAGAGATATGGGCGCGCCGAGACAGACACGGGCACGCCGAGACAGACAGACGGCCACGCTGAGACAGACACGGGGCACAATGAGAGAGATATGGGCACGCCGAGACAGACACGGGCACGCCGAGACAGACACCGGCACAATGAGAGAGACACCGGCACGCCGAGACAGAAACCGGCGCTCCGAGACAGAGACCGGCACAATAAAAGAGACAGACACCGGCACGCCGAGACAGACACGGGCGCGCCGAGACAGAGACCGACACAATAAAAGAGACACCGGCGCGATGAGAGAGACCGGCACGATGAGAGAGACACCGGGCACGCCGAGACAGACACCGGCACTCCGAGACAGAGACCGGCACAATAAAAGAGACACCGGCACGCGAGACAGACACCGGCACGATGAGACAGACATGGGCGCGCCTAGACTGACACGGGCGCGCCGAGACAGACACGGGCACAATGAGACAGACACGGGCCGCGCCGAGAGAGACACGGGCACAATGAGACAGACACGGCACGCCGAGACAGACACGGGCACGCCGAGACAGACACGGGCGCTCCGAGACAGACACGGGCGCGCCGAGACAGACACGGCACTCCGAGAGACACGGCGCAATCGAGAGACAGACACGGGCGCGCCGAGACAGAGACACGGGCGCGCCGAGAGAGACACGGGCGCTCCGAAGACACGGGCACGCTCACGGAGACACGGGCGCTCCGAGAGAGACACGGGCCTAGACAGACAATCCGAGACAGACACGGGCGCTCCGAGACAGACACGGGCGCTCCGAGACAGACACGGGCGCTCCGAGACAGACACGGGCGCTCCGAGGCGGGCGCTCCAAGACAGACACGGGCACGCCGAGACAGACACGGATGAGACAGCACGGGCACAATGAGAGAGATATGGGCGCGCCGACAGACACGGGCACGCCGAGACAGACACCGGCACAATGAGAGAGACACGCCGAGACAGACACCGGCACGCCGAGACAGACACGGGCGCGCCGAGACAGAAACCGACACAATAAAAGAGACACCGGCACGATGAGAGAGACACACACGATGAGAGAGACACCGGCACGCCGAGACAGACACCGGCACTCCGAGACAGAGACCGGCACAATAAAAGAGACACCGGCACGCCGAGACAGACACGGGCACGATGAGACAGACATGGGCGCGCCTAGACTGACACGGGCGCGCCGAGACAGACAGACACCGGGCACAATGAGACAGACACGGGCGCGCCGAGACAGACACGGGCACAATGAGAGACACGGGCGCGCCGGCACGCGCTCGAGACAGACACGGGCGCTCCGAGAGAGACACGGGCGCTCCGAGAGAGACACTATGAGAGAGACACGGGCACTATCCGAGAGGGCGCTCCGAGACAGACACGGGCGCTCCGAGAGAGACACGGGCGCTCCGAGAGAGACACGGGCGCGCCGAGAGAGACACGGGCACGCCGAGAGAGACACGGGCACGATGAGACAGACACGGGCACTATGAGACAGACACGGGCACGCCAAAAGAGATGCGGGCACGCCGAGACAGACACCAGCACGATGAGACAGACACGGGCATTATGAGAGAGACACGGGCACGCCAAGACAGACACGGGCACTATGAGAGAGACACGGGCACTATGAGAGAGACACGGGCACTATGAGAGAGACACGGGCACTATGAGAGAGACACGGGCATTATGAGAGAGACACGGGCACTATGAGACAGACACGGGCACTATGAGAGAGACACGGGCACGCCAAGAGAGACACTGGCAAGATGAGGCAGACACGGGCACTATGAGAGAGACACGGGCACTATGAGAGAGACACGGGCACGCCAAGAGAGACACGGGCACTATGAGACAGACACGGGCACTATGAGACAGACACGGGCACTATGAGACAGACACGGGCACTATGAGACAGACACGGGCACTATGAGAGAGACACGGGCACGCCAAGAGAGACACTGGCAAGATGAGGCAGACACGGGGCACTATGAGAGAGACACGGGCACTATGAGACAGACACGGGCACGCCAAGAGAGACACTGGCAAGATGAGACAGACACGGGCACTATGAGACAGACACGGGCCGGCAGACACGGAGACAGACACACGGGCACGCCGCCGAGACAGACACGGGCACGCCGAGACAGACACGGGCACTATGAGACAGACACGGGCACGCCGAGACAGACACGGGCACTATGAGACAGACACGGGCACGCCGAGACAGACACGGGCACGTATGTGATGATGCATGTAACTAAGCCAGGCTCCTTTCTCTCATTTAGGGCATTCATGGCCCCGTACTGCATTCCTGCTGAGCTCATCCATGTGGAAGAAATTCCCCGAAACCAGATGGGAAAAATCAATAAAAAGCAACTGCTGTCTCTGTTCTATCTCCAGCCAGAAGGGGGGAATCAGACCATACCTGCCTGAACACGCGCTCCTGCACCCCCTGGGACACGGCACTCACCGTCAGCCCCGTACTCAGGGGCCCCAATCACT